GCAGCAATCATCACAAGAATTTACTACCCTTAGTTTTTTCATCCTTTTCAGAGTACTTTTATGCTAACTATTGCTAGAAGGCTCTCTGAAAGCTGTTCAAAATCTCTTTGAAATAGCAATGTTGGGTTTTGTGGTTTTTTTTTTGGGGGGGGGGATGAGGGGGGAGGGTATGCCAGACTTTCCTTTAAGGGGTTCTATTGTTTCACAAAGAATAGGAATACAATAAAAGGTTTTCTGTGCTCTGAGCCAATTTAAGAAGTTTATTCTTTTTTATTTGTACTTCTGGTTTTCTTTTTAAATTAATTATTCCTTCACTAATTGTAGAGTAATTTTTGTAGCAGAAATGTGTTATCTAAAATTTGGGTATGGAAAACAGAATATGTGGAGGAAGAATGTATTCAATTTCTAACACAACCTCATTTAAGTAGCCTGTCCTAACACTAACTTTTCAATAATAGATCTTTTAAAAAAAGAAGATACCTAGTCTGTATACAATTTATTGAAAAGTGGTTTGTTTCAAGATAGGCCACTTAAAGTAGTATACTAGGGATGTGAGATTCTGTTTCATCTATCCATTAGACTAGGAGTTCTCACCCTTTACGAAAACACCTTAGAGGGGTGTTTTTCCACCCTCATGCCCTCCCTGCAACATACACACTTGGAGCCCCTCACCACCCCTTACAATAGTGAGAAGGATACTGCCTGGTATGTGGGACTACAAAGCCACTCAAATTTGGCCCATCTGTCCCTCCATCATGACAGGCAGGCACAGGTGTGCCCAGAGATATCCTCAAAGCAGAGGTATGGTGAGGTTGCAAGGTAGGACAGAACAGGTGTAGGGGGAGCAGGACCTAAACTCTTGTTTTGTAACTGACTAAATGTCAAGTTGGCAGCAAACCGGTGGCAGCCCATTCAACAGGGGCTGGATACCCAACCCCACTTCTCCAATCCCCAGGGAGGGGTGGGAAGGACCCCCTAGAACTGGTCCCAGCTCAGAGACCCCAGTAGGCCCTATGGAGGGTTGGCACTGCCAGCCCCCCATCATACAGCGAGGCAGCCAAGGAAAGCAAAGTCCTCAAGGTTGTGCCGGAGCTACTGCTGCTCGGCAGGCCTGGCCTGCACCACCTGCCAGACGTGTAACTGCACCTGGGTAAAGTGTGAGGCCAGCAGGACCAAGTGCAAGCAGCAGCAATTGGCATGGAGCCGGTGCGGTGAGACCACCAAGGAGTCCTGCTGTGATCCACATGGGTTCTCAGCCCTGTTGTCCTCCTCATCCATTTCCATAACTCCCTCCCACCCCCCTAGGCTACGCTAGGCTTCGCAGGGGGCCAAGCAGGTCAAATTTGAGTGGTGTTACAACCCCACATGCCAGGTTGCAATACCATTTGCTCAAATTTGCCCTGGCTGCCCCTCTGTTGGTGATGGGGTGGGAGGGCTGGGCCAAATGTCAATGAATGGCATTATTGAAACCTTGTTGTGCCCCCCCACACCAAGTTGAGAACTTCCGTGCTAAGTGATTTTACTGTTTTGATCTCACACACTTCCTGTATATTAATAGTGGTTGGAATTAAATCCATAAAAGGACGGACATTGAGAATACAAATTCTCATTTCTCCACAGCCCCACACACTGCCTTCTGTAACACAACTATGACAAGAAACAATCAGGCAGGGTTCAGTGGCCAGTCCTGAACTCTTAATTTTTTTTGTTTTTGAAAGCCAGAGTCAGAACTTTGCTAGACCTTATCTATACAGTGAAGTTACACCAGTTTAACTTAAATGGGGTTTTCAACCTCTTATTTTGGTGTAAGAGTAGCTTCTTTCAGTTTAACCTACGTTGATTCCTCATCAACTTAAACTACACTGAAAGAAGCCTGGTTTTAAACCAAAACAGGAAGAACATCCACACAACCATTAGCATCAATTTGCTAAACCAGTTTTTAAATAAATAATCAAACCTTAAATCAAATCAGTTCATCTTTCTCAGGTTGTCAAACCCTTAAAATACAGTCGTTTTGTGTAATCAAGGTCAAAACAGCTGTGAACTGATCAGTAATAGGAAAGAAGTTCCATCTCTGGTAGTATTCCAAATTCAACTGTAGTAATGTTCAAACTGACAACCTGCCAAAAGCTGATATTTGTCGATGGCAAGCATATGATCTATGTTTGCATGTTTAGTCATACTACAATACAGACATTACAATGAAAATGTACCTAAACACACCTGTCTAGAAATGCTTATGAAAAAGTTACCATATACTGTATGCCTAATCAATTGTGTAAAACTGCTCCAGGAAGTGTTATTTTCATAATTAGACCCAGCATCATTGCACCACAAAGCAACCTCTGAAACCACAAGGCTATATTTTTCCTTATACTTATTTTAAAATTGCGAAGTAGTTTCACAGAAATTGGTAAGACAGACCATTTTTTTTTGTCTAGACAAGTTTTTACATGCAAGTTTTAAATCACTGATTCTCAAACTTTTGTACTAGTGACCCCTTTCACATAGCAAGTCTCTGAGTGCGACCCCCGTTATAAATTAAAAACACTTTTTTTTATAAATTTAACACCATTATAAATGCTAGAGGCAAAGCAGGGTTTGGAGTGGAGGCTGAGATTGTGACCCCCCATGTAATAACCTCGTGACCCCCTGAGGGGTCCCGACCCCCAGTTTGAGAACCCGTTTTATATCCTTCAGACCATTTATAACGGAAAAACTGATACACTTCACAATGACAGTACAACTATAATAAAGGCTCCTTCGCCACATTAAATAATAACCAAATAGCATGCTAATTAACTTTCCAGTGAACTATCTGCATTCCCTTCAGATTTCCTCTAGGTATAACTATGATAATCAGGAGAACAAAGACTTTGGTACAGCCACCATGGAACCAGGAAAACAGATCAAGTCAATATGATTCCAGTACACTCACACAGGGGTATCTCTTGGTTTGTTTTAAATATTGTACCCCAAATAAGAAGTTTTTGGGCTTTTTAAGTGTTGAAAATCACATTTCTGGGCAAATTTGCTCCCTTTAGCCTTACAGACACAAGTGTTCTCTACAATACAATTGTTCTCAGGCAAACCAAATTCCCACTTCCTCCCAAGCCTCTCTAGACAGTGGTTTCTGGCAATGCACCAGTCCCATTTATCCCAGTTTCTTTTTATAAATCCAGGGTCATGTTTCCCTTCCCATCTCATGTGATGTGCTGGACTGAAGCTCTGCCACTGTGGTTAGTGCAGCCCACTACCAAATCCTATCCCATACCATGCCACGCCAAGCCAAACCATAAGAGAGCATTTCACCCTTCTGTGTTTTAAACCTTTCATTCTGCATCTTTCTTTGATTTGCAGAGAAATCATGTTCACCCCATCACTCAAAATTTTATCTTGCATTTTCTTAAATATGCTTTGCAAAATTTTTCTGTTACATTCAATTCATCAAATGCAATATAAACACTTTCAGAAGTCTAGATTTTGCACAAGGAGAAGAAGAAAAGTATGATCTGTGTTGGCTTGGCTTTATCTTTTCAGTTGTCCTTACTCTCAGAATCCTCCATCTTTCTGTTCTCAACCAAAATCTATTGTACCTTCCCACACTTCCAGTTTGCAAGACTGCAAAATAGAGAGCTAGCTATTTGACTGGCAAAATTAAAACCCTGTACACTTCTCAAGCTATAGGGATAAAAGTGTTTACTCTTTCCAGCCAGCCATGTCAAGGACCTTAAATATCTTGGCTCCTCACTCTCTGGGAACCCCCAATTCTTACCTTCCAAAAGAAGCACTACTCCCCCCCCCCCAACGTCTCACTCACAATTCCTTGTATCCTACTCTCTGGAGCTTCTGACACTTCTTAAGGTCTCTCAGCCTCTGCTCCTGTGGAGCCCACTATGTTTCCACAGACTTAACATTCAGCCTCCCCGGACCCCGCTGGTAACAGCGCCCCACTGCCTTTTCTTCCGGGGGAGGGATAGCTCAGTGGTTTGAGCATTGGCCTGCTAAACCCAGGGTCGTGAGTTCAATCCTTGAGGGGGCCATGGGGGGGGGGGGAAAAAGGGGGGGGGGTTCTTCTTGGGGGGGGGGGGGGGAGAAGAGACCCCCCCGAGGTCCCCCCTAACCCTGATATTCTATGATTCTATGATTCTTCCCATAACGAGCCACCCAAACAGCACCTCCCCTTTGGCTCCCTCATTCTCTGACCAGGCCTCCTCCTCCCCACGCTGCTCCCAAGCACACACCTCGCCCCGATGCCCTACAGTACTGCCTCCTTCCCCCCCGTCCCCCACACCCCTCACTCTTAACCCAGGCCAGCCCCGCCCCCATTCTACTTCCTCCCCATCCCCCCGCCTACTTCCGACCACCCTCCCTCGAGCCCCTCTCTCACACACACACACACACCCCCCATTTAGTGCCCCCCAACACCGCTCACCTCCTCCTCTCTCTCGTTGCGGAAGCACAGGCAGGCCGCCCGCTTCTTGTACCCGTCCCCGTCGTAGGTGCGAGTCTGGTTGGACTTGAGCTTCATCATCCTCCGTCCTGGGGAAGGGGGGGACCAGCGCAGGGGGCTGGGGGGGGGGGGGGGGCTGGGCTCCGGGGCGCTGAGAGGAGCGAGGGGCTGGGCTCTAAGGGGGGTAGGCCCAGGCGGGGGAGGAGGACACCGAGGATGGGGCGCGGCGGGGGGAGCAAGGCCTGGGCTCCAAGAGGCCCAGTGGGGAATAAGGGGGGCGCGGCAGCCCTGACCCGGGGGGTGGGGGAGGAGGAAGCCGCCGGTCTCCAGCAGCGGGGACTGAGGGGACCCGCCTCCCAGGAGAGTCTCTCACACGCCGGGAGCCTCCGCTACGCGCTGCTGACGCTGCCGCCTTTCGCCCGCCTCAGCCCCCACGCCAGCCCCGCCGCCGCCGCCAGCTCTCCGGCCGCCGCCGACGACGACCGCGACGCCATCTTGGGGCACGCTACGCAACCGGCGTACAGGCAGCGGGCGGGGGCGGCTGATGCGGCGGCAACGGCCGCTGCGCAACCGGCGTGAAGACTCGCCCCTCCGCTTCCAGAGCCAGCACGAGCTCTACGCCAGGCACGCGGGCTAGATCCACGCCGGGAATAGGGGTGGCCTTACGCAGTTTGCGGCCACGGTGGGGGTCGGCAGTCCGCTACTTACGCCAGTTGTGCAGGTAGGAAGGGCAAGCAAACGCTGGCCGCTTGGCGTAACTTTTTGCCCATGGCTGGCGGAGGTTTTACGCAAAACACCTGGCTTACCCAGAAAGAATACCGGTCTTGTAGAGAGAGCGCTACGCTTGTAGCGTAGCGCTGCGGTAGTTCCATTGTAGCAGCCCTGAGCACTTGGAATGGGAGGGACAAAGGTGGCTTCAGCCAGCTGGGCTGGGGGAGGGGAACAGGACCTGGGGGGGACACTCCTCTGGGGGAGACCCTGCTCCTGCCTGTTAGGTACAGGCAGTGCTAGTCCTTTGGGGGCCTGAACCAGAAATATCCCCTCCCCCCACAAACAGCATATGCTAAAACAGCAAATAGGGGGCCCCTGCCCACTTGCTTAGTCTGCTTATGCCCAGCACTGGCTCTGCTACTAGGTGGCTGCTGTTTGCTTGGGAAATTAAGAGGGAGGCAGCTGCTCGCAAGGCCCCTGTGCCTCGTTTGTTGGGGTGTAGGAATAAAAGGGGGGGGGGACAATCTGCTTTCAAGGAGGGAGGAAGAAGAACTGGCCCTAGCTCATAGGCCAAGAAAGGTGTCCAGTAACTCAAAAGGCAGCTGGGTTCCTGGTACGTACATTGCTGCTTTCCACCTAGGAGCTCAAAGTACTGCACCCAGAACTTAATGAATTACAGGTGGAGCATAGGCAAGCCACTATACAATGGGGTTGGTTGCATATGTAGTTAGATATTTATAGCACACCAATCACTACTGAAACACGTGCCTCCTACCTGCAGCTCCCAGAAAGGCTTCCCTGGCAACATCTGCATTAGGTGCCCTGTGCAACTGCAACTTACAGGGGGTGGTTTTGACCTATTACAAGTTAAGTAGGCCTAACTTATGGTAGAAAAATGCCCCCCATCTTAAAGACCAAATCCCAATTTTGGGACTACCACACCAGCTGCCCTTCTCTAGGGCAAAACAGATCACAAAGCCCAGCATGAAGTACATGACAGCTGGGCAGGGACAAAAGTATTCTTAGTGAAGGAGAGCCAGTAACAGAACAAAGTTCCTGATCTTAAGAGAATCCAGAGTCCAACCACCTTGGAAAGCTGAAAAACCTCCCTCCGAAAAAACAAACAAACCCAAACCTTTCCAGCATGAGAACGATACTTAGAAGACTTGGTGGGTAAGATAATATCTTGGGACCCACAGCCTATAACTACACTGCATACATAACTCAGAGCACTGACACACCCATTTAGCAAATTAACCCCTACTTACAAAACAAATATGGGAGGGGCAGGGAAAAGAAGGAATTAAAGAAATCTGAAAAGTTCCCAAGACTCCATGAAGTCGACTAAGGATTTTGATATTGATTTTACATGGAAAACAGCCAGCTACTGTGCGGATGGGTGGCAGCATAAATCCCTAAAATAGATCATGGACAGTAGGTGCAGCTAAATGTATGCTGAACATGGTTTGAGTATAAGGACAAAACATTTCAGTAATATTGGTTAAAATAGAGGCAATTTTTCTGCTGTAGAGAACATCTCTCTCACTACTTCAGTAATAATTGAACTACACTTAACTGGAAGTAAAGGAGTTTATGCTAGCAGGGCCCCTGCTTTGAACAAGTGGGTCCTGCTAACAAGCACTTTCAGCAGAAAGTCCTTCTCTCTGGTCTGGCTGATGCTTTTGCTCAACTCCCATTGCAAAGCAGGAATTTGACAACTTTCAGGGCAGATTACAAGGCTCATCTGTTTACTGACAGTGGTGGAGGAGGGGTGAGGAAAAACAGCACTAGTATAAGTGAGCTGTAGCTCACGAAAGCTCATGCTCAAATAAATTGGTTAGTCTCTAAGGTGCCACAAGTACTCCTTTTCTTTTTGCGAATACAGACTAACACGGCTGTTACTCTGAAACCTGTCGTTTTTAAGAATTATTAGTGTTACTAAAATATTTTGGTATGTATTTTTTAATTTGTTTTTCCATGGGCAAAGCCTACGCTAGGTTTAACAGAATAAAGAGTACTTTATTTCTGAACAGGTTGTTTTCGATCATCTAATTCATTTGTATGTCCTTTGACTATAAAGCTAAATTGGAAATAGGAAATATATTCACAGAATATCAGGGTTGGAAGGGACCTCAGGAGATCATCTAGTCCAATCCCCTGCTCAAAGCAGGACCAATCCCCACTTTTTGTTCCAGATCAACTTAACAGCCCCCTCAAGGATTGAACTCACAACCCTGGGTTTAGCAGGCCAATGCTCAAACCACTGAGCTATCCCGGTGCAGTTCACTGTTTGCATGCTATTATGTTTCTCACAATTCTGTCAATTGCTTTACAAACATGAAACACTCAGTTAACTGATTATGAAAATTAACACCTTTGTACTTTTAACACCTTATTGTATTTTTACTGGAATAGGGCCTAGGGCTGCTGCAACAGTTCATCAGGACCCCATTGTGGTAGGTACTAACTATAAAGAGTTCCTGTCCCACAATAGTTACAATCTTAGAAAAAGATAAACATTTACACTTTTGAGGGTGGGATCCCCTCATTTGAAAGCTTCCCTGGCTAACTTTATCAGCATGAGTTGATAGTGTATAGGAAGCTAGCACAGACAGCAGTAAGACAGTGTTGATGTGTTCTCATGAGCTGTTTTACTGAGACAACAGAATGCTAGAGCACAAGTTAGAATTTCCTATTGTCTTTATGTCCTCATGTATTGCATTTCTGTAGTCTAGACAGAAAGTGACAAAGGTGTGTATGAGTAGGGGCAGGTCATGGTCTGCTAGGATAGGATGGAGGCTCCCAGCCAACAGGAGAGGACAGAACAGGGGTAGGCAAGCTATGGCATGCGAGCTGATTTTCAGTGGCCCTCAACATATAACTGCAATAATAGTTATATATTATAGACTTATAGAAAGACCTTCTAAAAACGTTAAAAAGTATTACTGGCACGTGAAACCTTACATTAGAGTGAATAAATGAAGACTCAGCACACCACTTCTGAAAGGTTGCTGACCCCTGTGATAGAAAGCATTACTTGTGCCACTTGAGAGTTTAGGGTCCCTGAGAAACCTAGAAGTCTTCTACTAACCTCCAATTGACCGATTGTAGGTATTTGCCTGTAACTGCAACAGCAGGTTTGTCATAGTACAGAAAAATTACACAGTACAGGAAAGCTCCAGATGGATTGGTGGCTCAGGGCAGGAGAGAGGTCCCCCCAGGATAGATTTTTTTGGGGGGGGGGGGGGGGGGGGGGGGGTTGAACAAACCACCTGCACAGCAACAGCTCCTGTACCCCTCCTCCATCATGACAACTTGTACTAAGTTTTGTGACAGCGCTGAGTTGTTTTAAAATGTCATGACAAATCAATGCCCCCACTAGAGCCGGAGGAGGCTGAAGTATTACAGACCCCTTGCAAAGAGCTTTCCTATGCCCACCCCACCCTACTCTTAGTCAGATGCAGCTCGAGCCAGCTTGTAGCTCTCCATCAATAAACCTCTCATCCAAACACTAGATGGAAATCTCAATGACAAGTCTATTGAGCTCCTCCAAGGTCCCAAGGTGGAATTTTTATGACTATCACTATCAGGAGGAAGACTGATAAGAAGGTTATTAGCACAGCACCAGGAAGTTCATTTTAATTGTCAGGGTGTTGAATCACTTCTTTCTAGTGCCTGTACTTCAAGGTCAGCCATCACTAGAGCATTCTGTTTATCAGTATTATTTTAGTATTTTTAGTGTTCATATTTAGTGTTTTTATTTTAGTGCAATATTCATAAGCACGGGGATTTTGTACACAGGGAAATCTCACAAAGTGACACTGCTCAGGGTTTAGATTAGAACAGTGGTTCTCAAATTGTGGGTCACAACCCTGTTATATCAGAGTAGCTAGGACCAGCGTTAAGACTTGCTGGGGTATAGGGCTACGCCCTCAGGCTCCAGGTTCAGCCTCACTTAAGGTCATGTAGCAATTTGTTGTCGTCAGCAGGGGGTCACAGTGCAATGAAGTTTGAATCCCTTGAAAGGGGTTCAAGTGCAGTTAAGTCTGTCACATGCAGCTAATGAAACAAGACCAAAGCTAGCTCTGAAAAGACAAATGGTGCATCTCTGATTAACGGCAGCCCAGACTAATGCTCAAGTTACCATTTGTGAAGTTACATTCCAGACATCAGCATCTCACAAGTAGTGGTACATTTAGATGAAGCAGAGAACACATTAGGTGAATAGGCAAGAAAAAATTGATCAGAGTCAGTTAAATAAGCATATGCACCTATCTAGCTAGTCTACAGTTAGAGAGAATGAGGTATCACAAAATAAAATGGGCATAGCATAGAGAGTTGATAAGATTCAGCAGCTGTTGACAGACTTTATCCCTTTGGATGGTACATGGCATGATTTTAATACACACTAAAAGAGGCAGACAATAACTATGCCTGTTACTGACTTAGAAGAGAAAACAAGCAGGACTATCATGTTAAACTACAGTAGTTACATAGCATCAGTAATCAATCCAGAAATATTAACCCATTGTTATTTATTATGCAACACCACGATTGGCTAGAAACAAGGAAAGATGCAACTATAATGACTGGAAATGTTTGCTAGGCAGGTATCTAGGCGATAAAGTGTATCATTAGATCCAGGGGTTAGGGAATCCATACTTTGCCATAATTTAATAGAAGCAACTTGGCTATATCGTGGTCTACAGACTTCAGTTAATGCAGCTGAAACTCTTGATTTAAAAAAGATCAATAAAAAATGGATATGGCTGCATTTGAATTAACTTTCCACAGGTGAAAATGACCACCTGCTATGACACTGATACTCTGTATTTTAGAAAATTCACCCTCATCTCTAAAAATACCTTCTTCACTGGGGTGTTTGTGGTGATTAATTTCTTAGCATCTAACTTCTGCAGTGTTAAGTTATAATACACTGTCAAAGCCATTCAGGTTAGCATTCTATTACACTATGTGACTATATCATATAAATTTGCATTAGGATGACAT